ACTGAAAGGGTTTTTTTCCCCTCATCCTGTCTCATAAAAAAAAAACTTTCCCTTCCCCCTGAAGCATAGACATTCCCCTGCTATGAGAGGAATTTGATGAGCTTGCATTCACAATATCTCTGCCGGGGCAGATATGTGATATGTTAAGTAAAATGTCAGAAAATCTGAGTGAATTACCTGCATGTTAATACAACCAGTGCCAAAATACAATTGGGAATTTTCAATAATAAATCTCTTTGCTTTAATCCAAGGAGAAATAAACTAATCTGAGCAGCTATTCCACTTGTTCCAGTTGTTGCAGGGAGAAGTGAATGAGCCAAACCACATTTCAAGAAAACAAACATGAGCAACAGTTTGTTCACACAGACTTAACACTATCAATTCCCATCCAATTGCTCTGAGTATTTCACAGAATGAATGCTGATTCAAATATATTGTGTGCCTGGAGGGGTGTACCAAGTTAAAGCATGTTCTGTTGTGACCTTTGTAGAGTATTTCACTGCTTTTCAGCAGCCAAGATTTTCTGCTTTTGCTCATATAACTCTGAGCAAGGCAGTAACAAACCACTTGAATGAAAGCACATTTTAAGTGGCAACCTGAGCTGATGGGAACATAAAACAAGTTTAAATGTGTATACTGCAGAGTATCCACAGTACTACTTTGGCTTCCTGGGAAATTGAGCTGCAGGTGCAGCTGACAACATGTATTGTGATGAAGCTAGAAAAACAGGTTTACTGTGTATAACCAAACTTTGGCTGTTCTCTGATACCAGTACTTCCATGCTGAAGTGTGTGTCTGTATGAGTCCTAGGCTGCTTTACACAGCTAGAAACATCCAATTCCATACCCAGAGAGGGGCTTGTGATATGACAACAGACCAGCTGGCTGAAATGCCCATGCATTGCTCTCCTTGTGTCTCTGGGGTATGCCAATCCCGCTCTACTGGATCTGATTTAGCAGTCAGTGCACAGGACAGTTTCCAACCCTCTGATCTTTAGATGTGGACACCAGAACAGGGTGTGGGCCCCCTGACAGGCACATGCCATGCAGTGTTATCATTGCCTCTTGCATGTGGTGACATTCCCGGTCAATAAATTCCAGACCCGCATTTCCCCTCACGGTTTCCCTTTTTCTTTCTTCAAAAGAATTATTATTAATAATAAGGACAGAGAACAAAGCATGCCTCTTGTGTAAACCTGACAGACCAGAATATAATGTGTTCAAATAAGTGTGACAAAAGGTCAAAAGGGACTCGACATAAAGGAGAATTACACGAGATTACTTGTCAAAAAAAAGGGGCTACAAAGAAAAGTACATGAAAGGAACACCCACATCATAATACACACCTGTCTTCTCCTACTGACAACTGAATGCCTTGCACCTATTTATGAATCACTCGAATGCCGGACTGATATTTGCAGTGGGTGAGGCAGCCGGGAATAAGTTTTCAGCAGGCTCTGCTTCCTTTGCTGGAAAATTCTTGGAGTAGTGAGCAGGCCCATTTCTCAACATAGGAACGCTGATTTCAACCACTCTCTCCCTCTGAGATTCTTGAGCATTTTAAAAATGAATATAACAGCACCGATTCACAAGCCATAGAGGGTTATGGACAATTTAGCTGATACTATCTGACATGTGTTCCAAAGCAGAGCAGTGTAGCGAATCCAGAACCATTTTCATCCAGGTAAATTGAAACTCTTAAACATATGATATGTTTAATCATCTCTACACATGGACCTAAAACACCTGTGGAAATTTCCTTGAAATCTTTTCTTGCATCCAGAGTACAAGTGGTCATTTTAAGGAGTGAATATGAGATAAGAATGTAGACCATCCAAAACCATCTGCTAACATCAAAAATTTTAGGGGCAGTACACATGACCATTCACACTCCACAAGGCAAGCTACAGCTACAAGCAAACAGAAACTAGAGCTTCCTCTACGTTTATCTTCAACTCGTATTGTGAAACCACATGGTTAAAAAAAAAGCTGACATCATAAAATGAAACATTAGAAGCACCATATAAAACTATATAAAACTAATACACAGCCTTAACATGTGGAGAAACCAAGTTCTCCGTGGGCTGCTAAATTCTACACCACATCCCATCCAAACCAAGCACTTAACTGTGAAAAGCCTAAGTTAATGATACAGAGGACCACTGGTGAGCCCAGGGCGTTTCAGCCTTGTAGTGAAGGTCACAGTCAGGAGTATCATTACTCAACCCATGTATACACATGGTGTGTTTGTGCACACCACACTTCTAGTTGTAACACACAGATGTTACACAGAACAAGTTGTGGGTTACAGTTCATATACAGTGTCTTTCTAAAATGCTGGCACTTTTCCATTACAATATTTCTGATATCATTGCATCAAAAAAGTAAAATCATTACTTTTGAACATACTTGCAGTTCTGTAACAGCACAAAACATTACAGTATTTTACCATATAAATGCATTCTAAACTAAATCGAAACTCAACTTTCGTGTTATCAAAGCACAGCTTTAGCAGTAAAAAGTACATGTAGTAGACACAATGATATAAGCATGTGTCCAAAATGGTGCAATCTAATACTTTAGCACTGAAAGATTTCCTTTGTGAAGCTTGTAAAGTATCAGAAAAACACTTAAATCAGCTCAGCCATTTTTGAGGTCAAATCCAGACAGTTCAATAATAATTGTATATTTCATTATTGTGAATACACATCTAAAACAAACCAGGAGATAAGTAAATTAAAAAAAATACTGATGCCAAGCTGCATTTGCTGGAGAAAGTATCACTGAAAAAATATGGGGCTGTGCGTCACAAGTCTAAATGCAGAGACAACTCAACTGTCTACAGCAGCATTTAGCAATGAGTTAATGAAACAACACATACAAAATATCACAAGATTTCTTTCATCCAAGATGACATGGATCTGTTCACTGAGTACTGCACGGAAATAAGGAAAATGCAATAACACAGTCATCTTTTGTTTACCCCTGATACATCACAGACCATAAAGCAACAGGAAGTAAGAGACTTCTTCTATCCAATTGAAAGTTAATTTTCCCTTCTGATTGCCATCAGTTAGCCATATGATGCCTACACAGAGGGTTCTGTAAAAGCCAAAATGAGATAAACACTGAGCTTTAATGAGGCTAAAACTGTGGGGAGAGAGGGGCCTGCTGGCCACTTGCCCCCTACAGTGCTAAATAAGGATCATGCTTCATCATCCAAAACAATAATGTGCCTCTCATTTCTGTCATTCTATTGGAGCAAAAACAATGGAAGTGCATGTATTAAGATTAACGAAAAAAACCACAAGCCCGGTCATCTTTTAGGAGTTTCAGATTAACCATACAGCCTAAATAAATACAATAAAGACCTATCACACAACAGCAAACTGATCAGCATGGAATCTAAAATCCCTGCCCTGCAAACTCAATATCTGACCAGAGGGGTCCAAGTAATGAAAGGAGACATTAAGCTACTTTCCTGCTGTTTGGACTCAGCTACAATGTTTGAATACCATGCACTATCCAGCTGATTAAGTGGACAAATTCAGTGTTAAAAACACTAGCAAAACCCAACAACAAAAATAGTAATTGAAATAATATATTCAATTAATGAATTACCTTTCTCCACCAAGTTATAACCAGCACAATATTGGAAGCCCGAGAAAAGCTAAGTGTCAGACCCAGAAGTCATTTGCTGAGTCTCTAAATGGACCTCATTACATGTGAAACAGTCCCCTTCTTAGACGCCCTATTGCCTGTTTGCAACACAGCAATGTTTTTTATGAAAATTAACTTATCATAAACATCTTTGGATTGGTCTCCGTCAGTTAAGACTGTCAAAGGTTGTTTTCACAAAAAATAAACACATAGAAAAAAAAAAAAAGTAACAAGTGGTTTAAAAAAAAAATCTACTCAGGCAGATTCTTAAGTCATTAAATCCACAATGTCTTCTTTTACAGAAAATTCCTGGACCAGACTCCAGAGGTTTTCTGGCTCAAAATTAGCAGTAGAATTAGTTTGTGTAGTGGCCTTATTAGAAGGACTGCTAAAAGGGGATTTCCACTGCAGTGACATTTTCCTCTCAAACCATAGTGACAGTTTTAAGAAAAGTGACATGTTTTAACATATTTCTTATGCAAAAGACTTTTCCAAAACACAACAAAGGGGATGTTGTAATGTGATAAATACACCCTGGAGTTATTTTCACAAAATTTGTGGACATTTTCTGCAGCTGTAGTAATGACTGTATAAATTCAATGATGTTTATTATTGAGGTCGGCATTGTAGTGGACTTCATTACATTTAGAGGTGTTCCTAATATTCTGACCATCTCATGTATGTAGCTGGAGAGGACAAAAATATAGAAACACATGTAAATATAAGGCAGTCCAGTACAACACCACTGTCAACTATGACCTCAATAATAAGCATATCATTGAATTGATACATTTGACAATTTCACCAAAAACATAAACATAAACATGATCTTCATAAGCACAGATGTTAAGGTAGAAATGTGAACTGCATACAAGACATTCTATCTATAGATGCCTTTCCACTTTGCAGAGTTAGTGGATGCTACCTACTTTACCATGAATATCTTCATTCAAGCAACACATTTTCAGAGGAGCAGATGGTGTCCTGTCTGGTGTTACAGGCATGGCTTAAAAAATATGAAAGACAGCTGATTCAATGCTGTTTCCTCCTCCCACTCCCATCAGTGACAAGTTTGATTAAAATTTCAAATCTCACTAAATGCTGTCCTGCAACAGAAACCTGTCTTTTCATCTCTTAATCTACAATAATTAGGTAAAAAATAGAAAGTATTCAGGCAAACTTCTGATATAGAAATGATGACTGTAAAAAGAATAAAACACCAGTAGATACCAGCAGTAATTGTTAAAACAGCTGGACCAAAGTGACAAACATTACTCCCACTCAACACCAAACCGAGAGAGGGGAGAGACTGGCACCAGAGAGCCACATGCTTACCTCACAGAAAGAAGCTCTTGCTTGTTGTCTCTCATCATCTTGACAAGAGTTAACCCAATGTGATGCCATCATTCAATTTCACTTAAAATCCTGTTATCCGTGAACGCCCACATTGAAGATGCAGCTCCAGCAGGATGTAAGAAAATATATGAAGTTCCAGTCTGTCCAATTTACACCTCCATTTTTTCTTGATTTCTTAGTCCATCTGTTAGAAAGAAGGGGGAGAGATGTGTTATTGCTCCATTTTGTTTTGTTGAATTAAAGGTCGATTTGCCCATTAACTGCTCAGATATGACATCTCACATCGTTCAACGGTCTGTAGGAGAACAATTAATACCTCGGCTGTTTAACACATAATAGCAGACCATTTTGGACAATTAACACTATGCAACAGATCATAATCTAACGCTATTTTCTAACCGGTCTTCTCTTTACAAAGCAATACACTAAGCTGCTGGGACACAGGCCGACCTAAGTAACAGCTAATATATAACACAATTATGTCATGACCACAAGATAGTTTTAAAAAAGTTACAAGCTTACAAAATATGCAGCATCACTTTAAGAACATGCTGAAGACAGTGATGTGACACACCACATCATCACCACATTATTTATGAACCAACAATTTGGGCATGTTGTCATCGGCTCGAAGTACAACAACGTGGACAGTCAACACTGCGTAATGAATGGCCAGCAACAAGTGGGACTACAAACGGGAGGCAGGGCGATGACAAATGTCCGTCACATTTCAAACGAATGTATAACAAACAGAACCGTGGTATTACAATTTAAGCCAGGTAGACTCATTAAACATATGTATTTCCATAATAAAAGCGCCAGTTTTGTGATTTATAGAGGTTGAATTTGGATTTCTGTTGGTTGAGCTCGATGGTCAACTGAGGCACGTACACACCGAGCTGTTGTTCATAATCGAACAACGAAAGTTGCATTACCATTGTTACCATTAATAAGACATCAGCACAAAACCTCTAAAAAGGAACTTGAGACACTGTAGCCACTTTCCGCGTAACACACTTTGCGAAAGTTATCTGTAAGGCGAATAAAGTTTGTAAAATCAGCAACTAAACCGACCACGGCAACAGGCTGCTAGCGCTGTGGTTAGCATCATGCTAACGGTTGGAGTTTAAACAAAGTTACCTGTGTATTTCAGAAGCGTCATTACAGGCTGCCAGCAGTGGCTGCGGTTGTCCATAAAAGCGAGTAAACAACGTAAAAACATAGCGTGGAAACTCCAATGTTGTCAGGCATTACTATAATTTTATATATTTTAGATACAAACAGCTTCCCTGTGATTACTCCGATCACACTCAGGACAGGCGCGTGGTGTTTCGTAGCTGGAATTTTTTGCTTCCAGTGCTCCCGACACTCTGGGAGTGCACCTTTGGGCAACAGAGCACTCTCAGCCAATCGGAAGCGTCGTTGTATTTGACTGGACCAATTAGATGCGAGTTTACAAAAAGTGGCATATGCGTTGGAAAAAAATGTATTTTTTTTTACGGAGTTCAACAAGTAGGTAGTAAAGACGTCTCAAGAAGAACGATGTAAAAGCTTTAATAACACAGACGCCACCTGCGTTAAGTCTAGATTTCACTTATGTCTTTTCACGATTACTCGCCTTCGTTTCATATACACAACAAAGTTGATATAGGAGTCACATGTCCTGGTTCAAAGTGAGGTCGAGCGAGCTGGTATGTGGATATGGAATGTGAGTCCACGCATACCACACGACAAATACTCGTTGGTCTCATCGTACTGTCAATAAATACACCTCAAATTAAATGCTTAACACGGACGCTCCTGTCCTCCCTACAGTCTGGAACAGATTGTAGCTGTAGACTATAATAAATGCTCTGCTTCTTAGGGCCCTGACAAATGTCTCTTCTCTCTCCTCAACATAAGGGGCCACCTGTTTTTGGGATTGGCAGCTTTTGTTCCAGAGGTCAATTAAGAAAGGAAGCTATCCTGCCCAACCAGTTCTTCCAGTGGATTTACTGTGGATATAAGGTGGGAAAAATAACTTACATTTCAGGTTAATTACTTCAAAGACAAAACATATCTATGAACTGTTTACCCCCAGAGTGCTGAAAACAAGGCATTACATTTCAGAGGAATAGCTTTCTTCCATATTTATTTGGGAGCTAGTTATTTCCTTTGCAGATGCAAAATTCACACATAAACATTTTATCTGTTTATAATATTGGATGTATTGTTAAAAATGTAATCGCCTAACAATAAAGTAGTTGAAATTAGGTTCAATTATTCAGCCACACAGTGGTACGTTCACATTAAAGCATCAAGGATATATAATTTACAAGGGACAATTTTCTGCATACTCCATTAGTCAATACTCCGAAATGCTGATGAAAACCTTTGGTTGTAACAACGTAATTATACTGGCACACTTCATCAAGATATTATTCTTGGAGCTAAATTCTGCTGAAAGGTCAGAGAGTTGAGTCACAGTAATCCCCACCAGACCTTGGAGTCATAAGAATGATGGTTTTGTTTTTACAGCACTTTTGTTTTTCCTACTTAAAAAACTAGGGGCCATATGTCAGGTGTGTTAAAAGAGTACAGCAACTCAACACAACCAACTTTCTTTTGTTAATTTTAATAGTTCATTTGCAGTTGACCTATTTTTTTAATCAACCAATAATGAACTAATGTACTAGGAAGCAGCTTTGGCATTTACATCAGACAGATGCAATCATAAAACAGATATAAAAAAGTTTGGCAGTTTAATAAGTGATCAATAATGCTTATAGAACAAAGAAATGTTAAAAGGAAGTGGCAAAATAACAGTACCCCACTACATCTGAAATAATGAAAAACCACAAAGGGGTACACTTAATGTTCACAAAAATACTTTACTTGCCCTCCACACTAAAAACGACAGCAGCTGAACAAGCTAATGAAAAATCAAAACACCAATGTACAAGTGAAGAAAACGTAACATTTTAATCACTCACTGTTACAAATTTCTGAATAATCACAGTGTAGCTATCTTTTATTTTAAAAGAAGCAGATTTACGAGTTTCCTTTGTTATCTCATCGCACAGTGACTAAAAAGCTATCACATTCATACAGTTTGTAATGATCAAGTTCTTCACACCGCATTCAAGAAGATATCAAAATGAGATGGCACTTGTGTTAAAGCAACAAAGGCAAATGGTAGTAGAAGTCCAGCATTAAACATTTTTGTAAACATGAAGAACATTGTTCCGATATTAAAACATAGCTATTTTGCTGAAATCAGTTAAGTGTCAGTGTCTATTGTTAAAACAAACATTTCATAGAATGAATTCTGTAACAAAACAGAGATGCTTGACATCAAAAATCACAATAGCAGCTCAATGGAAATGCTCAGGCTCGCTGTTAGATGCCATCTCCCTGACAATCATCTCTTTTGCAGTTTTCAAATCTTGTATTTCATCTTCCCACTTTCGCTGATCACACAGATATGCTAAAAAAAAAAGAAGAAAAAATATGAGCAAGTTCTCCAACATTCAATATTTACAGTACTGGATGAATATATGACAGTGTTCTCAGGCGTTCATTGTGAGCCGTTTGTCTAAGTCAGAATCACTGTTGTCTAAAATAAAAAAGACACTGACTTACATTGAGGTCTCTGAAATACTCATTGTAGTCTAAGGCATAGCCAACCACAAAATAATTGGGTATCTCAAAGCCGACATCTGAAGTCAAAGACAAAGAGGAACATTAAATGCAAGTATTTCCATAGTCCACTGAGTCACTGACTGACAAGCTGCAGCAATTGTTTTAAATGTGGAAAAAAAACACTGACTCATAAACATAAAAGGGTTGGTCATGTACGTACAGTCGGGAAGACAGGCTGAGTTACGTGACACTCTCTTCACCAGCAATCTGAGGAAAACAAAAGCAGACATTCGATATCCCTTCCTACCTGCCATGTAGAATGTCAAGGGGCAATTTTAAAACCATACCACCTGAAACCTGTGCCACTTCTTCGTTCCCCTTTTCTGTCTAGACTAAATTCAGTGATTCACAAAGTAGAACTGGGCTAGTTTTGTTCTCAGGTCTTTACAGCCATAACTCACCCTGCTACTTTGATCATTTTGGGCCTGAATGCTTCAACATACTTCAGGAGAGTTTTTATTGTGTTCCCGGTACCGACGACAGCCTGTAAAAAAAGAAAGTGAGAAAAACTGGACCGAGAAAGCAGGAGAATGCGAAAATGCAGACAAAAATGGATTCATCTCATATTCAACTGAAAAGGAAGATGCCCATCTTAAGAGTGGATATGTTTAATATATGAATTATCTGTGGTTTCATCACTATGCATAACCACTTTTACATTGTATATAGTCTGTTTTTAATCAATTATTCATATAAAAGTTTTCAATCAGGTGTTATCCAATCCATTGTAAAAGATACAGAATAAAGAATCAGGCATACGGACAGATGTTGGAGCACTGAGTAATACCTGCTATTTTAAAATGTTTAATCATCCAATATCTGCATACAGTAATGAACTGTTACTGAATGAGCCCTTTTCTTTCTTGTACATGTCATTCCCTTGTGTATCTGTTCCCACCACAACACAAAATGGCTCTGCTAACATAAAAAGATTATGATCATGTTGAAAAAGCTCTCTTATTTTCAAAATATAGGTCAGCCAGATCATGTAGGAGGAGACAGAATACTTCGAATGACTCCTCTTGACCTGAATAGCCAGTCACGGCAAGAAATACAATAGGCCTGTTTGCTGAAGAGGAATAAAAAGGCAAGCAAAAACATGGTTGACTCACCTCCACAATCAGAACGTTCTTATTACAGCATGTTTGGGAGGGAAGAGAACAATTATTCTTGGTTAGAAACAGAGCAAAGCTACAGTATCTTCTAATCATCAACACACACATTCCAAGATAACACTCACACAAATGGGAAAAAAAGCTAGGAAGTTGGTGATATAAACAGCAAAGAATTATACATTTGAAGTAAAAATAAAAGTAACAAATGGTTTACAAGTACAGAATAACTTTTACTGCAAGTTTTGAAGAGAGGTAAATGAAAAATTCATCTCTGAGTGTCTTCTTTTGGAGAGGAGTGTTGAAACATGGATCATTACATGAGCCATGCCCAACCATATTTATTAAAGCGATCACTGTATCAGTACAGCTTTTATTACATTTTGTGATATCAGTGATTATGCAAGGAAATGAATGCAACAGACGGATGTCAGCCTCATCCAGACTGGAAGTCTGTGTGCCTACAGGCCTTCTTTCAATGTCACACTGAAATAGCTGAAATTCTGCAAATGTTTGCCAAATCAACTGGAGACAACTGGGCACTATTTACATTATGAGCTGCTGTCTAGGCTTCACTTCATCTTAGCTAAGTCAAAACAACAACAACAAAAAAAAAAAACTAACTGCCATGTATGCAGTTTACTCCAATTTTTAAAAAGAGGGTTTGTCCAAACATGTAGTCGACTACACTGTAGCATGAAGTTTGTAATATGTTTCTTGTCACACAATTAGTTCACTTGTTCCAGGAAAACATCATAGTTACAAATGACTGACTAAATTTAGCCGTACGTCACAGGGAGTTTAGGGATTTCACAAGCACATTTAACATACTGTGAGCAAAGCAGCCGGTAATGATGCAAGCTCACTACCTCATATCCTATTCATGTTTCAGGCATTTGTGCCACGCCCGGCTATGAGGCGTATTAGTGTGTGCATGTGTGTGACTGTTAGTGTTCAGATCAGCTGACCTACCTAGGAATACTTTAACTTATAATTCCTGTAGTAGTGGTTGAGTAACATGTCGCTGTGTACATACACAGGCAGACATGCTGAAATAGTGTGGAGGGAGGATACACATTTGGCTTACAAGCTGCAGACATGCAAACGCTCACAGATACACTTTAGTATAATGCTTATTGACTGTTTTACTGAGTCCTTCAGGACAACCTTGTTGTTTTAAATGTGTGCAAAAGTGTTTTTATACACAATTAAGCATTAAAGTCATTTTTACCACCATAAGGTTAAACATCCGCTGGTTCCCGCTTTTAAAATGTAAACAATTGCTGCTTTTTTCTGTTATATGTGATACAAAAATCCTTTGGGTTTTGGACTGTCAAGACTTGGATTTCCAAGATATTATGATTATTCACAATTTTCTACCATTTTAAAGAACAAAAACATATGTAAAAAATAATCTGCAGATTATTCAGAAAGGCCTTGTGTTGTACTAAACAAACTGAAGCTCACACTTTTCTACTTTCAAAATAGCTTTCAGAGGTCAATCACATACATGACTTTTTGCAATATTGTCTTTACAAGTGATGCCTAACCTTGTGAAGAGTGATTTTTTTTCTTCCACATAGTAATAATTTTTTTTACAATAAATAAAACATAAAATAACAGATCATTTGGGATAACAGAAATTAGTTGTTCCTCCATCCTTTTATGACGCCCTCCAAGGTTAGTAATCACTGGCCTATACAGAACATGGTCACACATTTCAGTTCAGTGAGGTACTGACTATGATTACATGATAACAAGAACAGCAGATGAACAGCGAGCCTCCAACAACTAGACCCCTGTCATCCCCTGATCTACTGTGATATCCACTCAGTATATTCTCCCAGTTACACAGATTTCACATTTTGCCACCGCTGAGATAAAGTAAAAGATGCCTCTAAGCAATTGCATTACAACAGTTGGCATCTGATCACCACTGGGTTTGTCAGAAACTGCCATCTTTGATCTCTCCATTTCCTCACTCTGAGAGGGAGACAGCAGGTTAGAGGGAAGGCTGCCATCTTGAGGCTGTCACCCGTCAGTGCCCACCATCTCCTTGTTTCTTTGGCACTTGTTTTATTGTAATAGAGCTCAGGGTAATGCTTTATTGGATCCTGTTCCCTATTAAAAGAGGTGCCTCCAGTGATGATGTAAATATGAAGAATATTACCTTTTCAGCTAAAAAAGACAGGTCTTCCTCTCCAAGTATGTGAAGATCCTCTGTGGACTGGTCATTCTGTGAAAATTAAAACCCAAGAGAAATGATGTTTTGATCTTAACATTATTAATATGTTACAGGCACTGCTGAAATAATAAAGAAACCATGTGGACATATTTCCAGTTTATAAGAAATGTTTCCTACTTTGATACAACATCATTTAGAGAGATAAATCACATTAGCAACTAATATTTTTCAGTTGTCACATGGGCAGGAATCATCTCTAAACTCAAAACAACTGATGAATTGCAGGTCACGGTGTATTTTGTAGCACAAGCACCTTTCATCAGAATACTAATTGCAAAGCCTGTGATACTTTCATCCTTTGTGATGTCTACAGCACATGAAAACAGAACATTCAAGACCAACTTACACAAAGATACCACTGTCGTAATGCACAAATGCACACACAGAAACCCAAAACTAATAAAAATGATACAGGAAGCTAAAGAAGAATCTCATTATTCAATGTACTTGGTAAAATTTTTACAGAAGTTTTGAATAGAAGGTTATGTTTTGCAGAAAAACCCCAATATGCTCTATGAGGAACAAGCTGGTTATAGAAAAGACTACTCAAGTACACAAAACTCATTGCTGGTTTTAGTCTCTGTATGGGATTTATGGAAAATAACCAAAACAGATGGCTGGACTTATCCTTTAAAACAAATAGTATGCATATGAGTGCTATCTGTATACTGAAGCAGTGGGCAGAGGCTCACCAGGTAGCTCCTCAGACGGATGAAGTGGACCCTCATGGGGATTGTGCGGTTGGAGTTGCAGCTTAGTGCCTTGATCCTGTCTACCAAGTCAGCACAGAACTGGTAGCCTCCTTTCAGCACGCACAACACCACAATGTCATGGTCCCCCAGGTCGTCCATGATGTTTCGAGCAAGACGTTCTGTCCTGTACGCAACGTGAAAAGTGAAATTCCTGTTAATGCTCTAAAAGCTGTGTCTTGTCTTACAGGTTTTTCGCTCACAGCTGAGGGGGATTCATGTTTGTAAGTTAGCACACCTGTTTTTCTATGTCTATTTCTATTTCTATATAACATATCTCAAAACATGAACAAATTTCAATGATGTTTGGTGAAAGGATGGGCCATAGGCTAACGAACTACACAGTTTTTGTTGCAGATCTATAAACTTTTAACCTGTTTCTTAAAAATGAAATGTAGGGGATTTCTGAACATTTCTGCAATTTACTCCAGAACTACATGACAGCTAAGCACTATTCAGTTTAAAATGGAATGATATTACTATATGAATGTCTTGTGTTACTGTTTGACATACCAAAGTAGACCGAATGACTGATTCTGAGTAGAGCTACAGTGATTAGTTGATTAATCAATTAGTCAACTAACAGTAAACATACTAACTAAATAATTTCTCAGTTAAAAAGTTGCTGACTTCCAGCTTCTGAAATGTGACAGATTCTCTGTCATATATCATCTGGGTTTGGGGTTGTTGGTCGTATAAACAAAACATCTGTAAATGTCAACTCGGGATGTGGTAAAGAACATCTTTCACTGTTTTATGACATTGTATGTACAAGACAACTAATCAATTAATCGGGAAAATAATCAGCAGGTTCATCAATAATGAAAATAATCTTTAGTTGTGGTCCTTATGTTGAGCATTACTTTTGATTAAATGCGATTATGCACACACACGTCATAATGTGATGTCACAACTTGAAAGCAAAAGAATCTTGATACCTTTTATTCTGAGGGCCCTAGGTCACTATTGTCAATTAATGATCAATCATGATTTAATCAGATTAAAAACTGTATACATTTTCCACTATTAAAATTACCTGGGAAACTGCGTAGTCACATTTAAGAGAACACTGGTATGTTTGTGATTATTATATGTAAGATTTTATTCCAGCTTCATGACACATTGAGTGTAATGGATCTGGGAAGCTCACAGTAGTCTCTTTCTAAGCAGCAAAAGTTAGTCCCTCTGAGGACAGATTGCTCTTAGCTTTGTGTTGTACCTGTCCATAATCACGCCATGTGGAATGATGACACAGTCTAAATCTCCGGAGTAGTGAGCTGGATAGCTGAAGAGGTCTAAACAATATCCTGGCCAATCATCTTTAATCTGGGGGGAAAAAGATAAACGCAAATATCATGTGGCAGTTCGCACATCACTGTTGATCATATAGAACTAGGGCCTAAACACCAAGACACTAGCTTTATTACTAAGCTGCAAACTTCTTGTCTGCACAGGATCAGCCTGAGAGACACGTGTGGATGTAAAGAAAATACTTGTAAAAGATGCGCTAAGTTGTCAGCGCAGGAGCCGAGCTTGTGCATCCACGAGTGAGTAAACTTCGTGTCCACCATACAGAACTCGTACATTTCCTGACGTATTTGCTTTAATTAATTACCACAATTCCGCGGCTTCTTCTGTCGGACTGGACGGAAACGTCTGCCATGTTGATTTCCGCCGACACAACAAGGCTCCTGTCTCAGGAAAAGTGGCAGAACAAGGTTTGACAAAGAGTTGGCTCCGTGAGGAAAGAGGAGGAGCGTCGGAGTGTCCTTTGTAATCACTCCGCACCACCAGGGGGCGCTCTAACCCCACTGTCAGTAAAAGGTCGCTTAGGGGGCTGGAGGTAAACAGGCGAGGACACTGACAGTGGTGGGAAGAATACTGCATTCAACATTTAAAAGAACTGACACTAATGCATAAATGTCATAAGGAGCATTTTAATGTCAGACAACTGAAGTGGAGCTCATTTTCACTACTTTTAAAACAGTGCTGTTGTTAAATCCACAAAAATTGATATTTTTTTAACATGTAAAAGAAAAGGGTGAATTCTCTCTGAATTATGGCAAAATAGAAATATAGAGTTAAAATAAAGTAGGGGGTATGTCAAAACTGTACAGCTCCTGATATATCAGAGTTTTACAAAAAGACATCACTGTTTTGAAACATTTGCTGAAATGTGAGAGCAACAGTGGTCTACATCATAAAGTCTCTCTGACACAGAAGGAGAACGAGGCGGGAAAGGCAAGCAGAAGACTGTGTCATCACCCAGGAGACATAACAAATGTTTTTAGGGTTAGGTAAGTGTAAGTGAAAAAAAAAAACAGGATAGTAGCATAATAGCTGCTGTGTTATTGCAATCAAAGTGATTGTTTGCTTATTGTAATCACAGAAGTCCCAGCAGGCCTTTCAGTTTACACTATCCACCCTAATTGAACATTTACCTTATGAAAGTTTTAAACAAGCATGTTAACACTGCCATCTTGTGGAGAGGGACAGACATTTCTGGCCCTTCTATACACTGCTTTTGTTCAGTCAAATTATTTTTTGTTTCAAATCTAATTTAATATTCCCATATTTCTTAACCATTCAACTCTCGTCACATTCACAAACACAGACTCATCTCATCTTCCAAAAACAAGAGAAAAGAAAAACTTGTAGAAAAACTTGACCTTTAATTTAAGAGATTTAGAAGGCACGCCCAGTCACTTATGCACAATATAATTTGTGCCGCTGTGACAAGTGTGTGAATGGGTGAATTGTGGATGCACCACCCAGAGACTGGTGTGGTCAGTTAGTCCGAGAGCAGCAGCAGCAGCAGCAGCAGAGTCTGGGCTCCTATGTCACTGCATATTAGAGCAGTTTGCAGGACTCTGCTGAGAGGAGAAGACAAGGTGTCTGGGCCACCCACCCATGCTCTTCCACAGCAGCTGTAATTATAAACAGTGATACAATGACAGCTGGGGAGGCGGATGTCAACAGCAACATTAGATTTCAATCAGCCTGCAAAGTGCCACCACCTCAGAGGAACGAGGAGGTGTAAAAACTACTCTGCATGACAAAATCCTTCAAAAATGTCTGAAAACAATTATCATTCTCTCATCGATGGATTTCACAAGATGTTTTTGTTTCACATGCTAATGCAGCAGGCGTTAAGCTGGGAGAATCAGAGCAGTGAAGCCAGAAGATGTTTTTGGATGCAGTCTTGTCACATTGTTTTTGATGCTCTCTGTGCTGGTGAGAGCAGGCCGGCTCCTTCGCTACCCTCAGGGCACAGGGGAGCAGTCTGGCTTTGGCATTTCACACTTGCTCAGCAGTCAAGGCCTGTGACTGTCCACAGACTTTACTGCCAACTGCTCCCTTATACCCTCATCCCTGTTGTTTGGCCAATTATGAATATTCAGTTGCTATGAAAGTAATTCTTTCAGACACTCATCTGTCCAGCTAGATAATGTCAGTGGTGTTGCTTGTAGTGTTTGAGAGGAAAATCCCACAAGGATGTGGCCATTCTTCTCCTCTTTTATCAAGATGATGCAAATATTTCTTTGGTTCTTTCTTTCTTTCTTCAAAATTTTTCCTCTGTACCACAAACTCCTATTGTCCAAAAACTATTTGAAACATCAGTGAGCCACACTGTTCGTTCAGTACCGAGAATATGCACACTTCAGTAAATACTGAATGAATGCTACACCATCCTGCTGCCGGAAATATTCACAAAAGCGCCAAATGTGTATTAATCGGCAGGTGATATTAGACCCAAACAAATGCTCAGTTTTAGGATTGTTTGAATAATGTTTGATTGCTTTTAATGCAATTTGTGGCTGGTTTGCATTAATTAACACCTTCAGCAGGTTTTCAAGTGTTACAGACAAGGTAAGAAAGTGTTGAGACAGACTAACATACTCTGGTTTTGGCCTTTTCATGAGGTTTGTTGACAGTGACAGTCTAACTAAAAAGACCTAGAATAAATATATGGTATGACTCTGGTCATGTGTTGCCTTTTAATAATATTTAGAATGTAGAAAAACACCTTCACTTTCAGATGGAAGGGCATTGTGCTGAGGTTTATGTGGTCTGAAAATAAAATTTAAAATGCAATTATGAAAGGCGCCACCCTCAAAAAGCAGTGATGTCTGTCTGCTGTTCTCACAGTCAACACAAAACACTGACACTACTTTTTAGCGACCTTCTCTGCTTCTTCTGTCTTCAAGTGACACTGATTTAGCAGAAGACCTGTCCTTTCAGTGTTACCTACTCTTGACTTAGTGAGCATGCATTTGTTTTTGTGTGTTTGTCTGACAGCGTGTACATTAATATGTTGGACAGGCATCATTAAAGAAGGCAGGGACAAGCACAGCCATGAATGGGGAGATGTCTGTTGGTAGTCACTAACCTTGGTTGACTTTCAGTTATCACAACAGCGACTACGATTACCACCATACCACTGATGCTTCTGTGTGATGCTGAGCAAAATGAAGGGTCTTTGCTCTCTCTTAAACTCTACATTTAAAAAAATGCTGATATATGGTCTTGCTGTATTACATATCATTTTTAATGTGTTGAAAACCCTTTCCAACAAAGCAAGTCAAGCACAATGGTGCACATAAACACATGTTGAAAGTTCATGAGCTAATTCACAAGAGTAGAAAAGCAAAAAGTAATAGTCTACATTAAGCAAAACAATAAAAACAAAATACAAAATAGGCCACAGAACATAAAAAAGTGTCTATAAACAAGGTTAGATTGTTCAGAAAACACATTATTTGACATAATGACATGTCCCTTATTTAGTGCTTCATGGTTAACATTTACAGTCTTCATAAATGTTTGATACGGAAAGAAATCGGTCTGATAGAACAAGCGTGAATTCAAGTGTGTACATTTGTTTTGGTGTTAATTCTAGGGTTACTCGAGCAGTACCAGCAGAATAATATATTGATTTGTATCTAAATAAAAACCCAGAAGAGGACACAGTTCAACAAAACATGGAAAGTAGCATTATTTTTACATCAAAGTGTCCTCAGCTGAGCAGCAGTTCTGGTACATCCAGATGCTTCGTTCATGGTGATGATCAGCGGCTCCATGTTACAAGCATCTCTTGACCTGTGCTGTAGATTCAGGAGCAAGGATCCACTGTGTAAGCACGCAAAACACTATTAACATAATGACTTCCCTGTTTAAGTGGATTGTGGTTCATGTATTGAAAAACAAACTCGGTTACAGATGTCTTTGACAAACTTTCTTCTGTGTAGAAAGCGATATTTCTTCATGTATTTCGGGACAGCATTATTCACTTGACTGTAGCACCAGAGCTAAATGACAGAAGATGGTGAATTAAACAAGTAAAAAAAAGGAGAAAGAAATAATGCTAATGTAATGAATATATCTGAGGAGAAAATATATTATAAGTGACTTTTTTGACAGTTTTGTTTTGGTTTTGGCATTTTGGCATCAACAGTAATATTTCTGCTGTATTGGTGGTGGCAAAAAAACATCATGATGGATTCAAGTAAATTTTAAACTTTTTTTTTCATTGCATCACAGAATCCTACAATTCGGTGACTAACACTCTACCAATATGCTGCAGAACCAAAACCAAAAATGTGTGAAATAATTTAAGTTGATATATCTTCCATCTTAATGAATGATGTCAAGCTTGTCTGATTTGATGACAAGTATTTATTTATTGTTTTACAGATAACATACTTAACAGGGTTACCTTAGAGGTAAAATCTCCTGACAGAACTCTGTTTGGACTTGTCGGGAGACAGGAGGGAAGATGAACATACTTTAATCAAGCACACATTGTAAACAACTGAGCAATATTTAAGTCTAAATGGCGTACCATAGAATAGGTGAGAGACAACAAAATTTAAGAAAGAAGATGTGCCTCTTGCTTGCAATGACAAAAGTTTCTTTTTTTTTACAAAACAAATAATGGTCACTGACATTTTTTTCAACTTTTTTTAGTGGCTGAGAGGTAGAATGAAGTATTTTCAGTTAAAACCAATGATTTATTTACTTTATCATATCATTTCATCATAATGAGTGAAAACATTACGAGTGAATAAGTAACCCCAGCCCTCTGAATATAATGTGAAATCTGTACAAACATCCCCACTGACCGCAGTATTGTTCTGACTTTTATTGTGAAACTTTTTGTTTGTATCTCAAATGTCCAATGTTATAAGCAGAGAAGATATTATTTATTTATTTATTTCACAGTACCTCTCCAAACCGTGGGACAGTGAATTCCTTCGTTTAATACTGTGAATATCAAGGTCAGTCCATGGTTTGTTTGTTTTTTTTGTTTTTTTTTGTAGATGAGGTGTAGAGATGGAGATATTCAGTTGGAAGTATCCGAATGAACGCTTCCGGGTCCTTCTGTGGGTGATGTCACTGAAGAAGGAGTCGGAGCATCTTGCCAGCCTCCATTTGTCTGTGGAGATAAGACAGCACACTATTAGCTTAATGGAAACACAGTATATTGTCTGATACAACATGGGTACACAGTATCATTAAAGGTGCATTACTGCTTTACACATTGTCCGACAGATCATGTGAAAATGGGACAAAACGTTCAGAAGTAACCTTCCTAAGACTAAATATAACTGGTAGTGGTTGTTGGAGTAGCTTTAAGGATAAGGTTGGCAGTCTTCCATATTTTTCTCAGTGTCAACAAATTCTACAAAAATTCCATAGAGCTCCACTTCAGCAAACCAAACTGTTGCACTGGACGACATGTTTCTTCATTACAATGAGCACGGGCAATGTCTTTATTTTGAGTCT